TATACATCAATTAGAGCAGCATAAGTAATATTTATACCCATTTTTTAACTTGTCCGTCAAAAGCATTTTAATGGTCCTTAAAACATGATTCTGACTGTTATTCTCCTTATATTCATGAGGACTGATGATATATTCATTTGTTAGCTGTAATTGTTATCATAAAGACTTCGTAACCTATGATGAAGATATTGCCTATTTTTATTTTATTTTATAATTGATTAATGTATTCTATTTATGATTTTAGAGCAAGAGCAGAGTGGCTTAAAGCTGAGATGGAAACTATTACGCGCACCAACGAAGAGGATCTAAACAAAGCCTTTTTTGAACAGACCAGCCTACGTGCTATGATTAAATCTATGTCTGAAAAAGAACGCATAGCACTTGAAGAAAGAAACGCTTCTTTAGAGGCTCAGAAGATCGCTGAGCAAAGCAAGCGTCAGGCTTGGGAAGAGGTTGCCTGGCTGCGTGCCGACTTAAGCACTGCCCTAAATATGCCGAACACCTGTTCAAATCCTCCCCTAGTCATGATTCCATCAAAAGGCAGCTCAGAGGATACACACTGTCGTGAGGTTAGTTTAAAGCTATATATATTTAAATTTAAGGATCATAATATAGTGTGGATTAGGTGTCTGCCTAAATGTATATTTACTAGATTTATTGTAAACTAGAAGCTAGAATCAAAGATAGGAAGACCAAGATGGTATAGCAATTAGTAAGGTCGTAGTCCCCTTTCGTTGTATAGAAGTTGTTTGACCTTGTTTTCGCAATTTGGTCATATTGGTAGGAAGACTTAGAGCAACGCACCTAGTCCGGAGTCAATTGTATGCATGATCATTTTCAAAGTCGGAGCATAGACGTGGTACATTCCAAGACGTTTCGCCGACATCGTAGTCATCATTGTCAGAGACTCTTGTCATTCTTAGCACGTCAAAGTGAAGCCGATCCTTCTACGAAATGTGTTTGGTATCTCTCCTTCTGTCATGGGCTATTCACCTATCCTATATCCTCGTATCACGTATTTACTATCACAATTTTTTTTGCTTATTTAAATCTAGCATGGTGTGCCCTTCTGAGCGGCTTTCATGAGAACCCACCACACTCTACGCTGGTGTTCTCACCCCAATTTACCCTTGTGCTAACTATGTTGATCAGATTCTGCCATATTGTTACACAGTCCTCATTCCCTAGGTCTTATCAGAGTCTATCCCTTGCCCCGTAGGATCCGTTTGCTATCTTCCTGGTTCAAGTATTTCACTCGAACTCTGACACCCCATCTCTGCTACTCGAGGCGTTATTACCCATCCACTGCGTCTGGGTGACTAATTCGAGGCTAAAGCCTCTAATTAAGTCTCATGGTCAAGTCTTTGCTACATGCAGCACGTCTATAGTAAAACAGGCTTACAGTCAGCCAACTAGCTCTAGTATCGGCCGCGTCTATCCTGTATCTATCCGTAATACCAAGTCTATGACTTGATATGCCCTAGTCTCTTGTATGCCAACCCACAAATGTTGTGGTACTGCTTGCTTTGTTTAGGTTCAATATTGCACCACAACGTTTGGGGGTTAGCACACAAGAGACCAGCGCATAACAAGTCATAGACTAGATATTAAGGATATAAACAGGATAGATACAGTGGATACTATAGCTAGTTGACTAAAAATAAACATGCTTCATGGATCACGTCTATGCTAAAACACGTCTATTTTTAGCCAAATAGCTTTAGTCTCCACAGCTTCAATCATGTTTCTATCCCTAATGCCATGTCTATCACTTCCTATGTTCTAGTCTCTTGTATGCCAATCCACAAATGTTGTGGTTCTACTTGTTTTGATTAGACCTACTGAAGTCATATCCTCTTGGCTTCTGACTGTTCCTTTCTAGTCCCTCTGCGTTTTCTTTTACTAAAATAAAGGATGTTACATTGATCCAGTCGTCTTCTTTTTGCTGATTATACTGTTGCCTGGTCTTCTCCAAATGCGTTTAGGCAATATGCAAAGTTTTTACTAATCCTTTTCATTAGATATACATCGGTCAGTATATCGATGGCCTCTCGGATCTTAAGTTTTAAAATATTTTCACCATATGAAGCCAACCTTTCGGTGATTTCGT